TTGGTATATCTAACTTAGTATGTTTATTGTTTTTGTAGAACTTTTATTCCGCTCAATTGACCTTAAGAAATAAAGTCAGCCTGGCCAAAACAATTGTGTCGAAGTTTTCACCTGCACAAAGAAAAATATTTGAGGATACTTGCTTCGGGCCATGGCTGAAAGTACAACATCCCGGTGAAGATGCGATGTTGACACACCTGTTTCTTCAAACCATGACTAGCGATCTACCAGATACTATACAACGTCGTGATGAAGAGATATGGTTTGATTTTCCACCGGCGTATACGTGTTTTGGGCGGGAGGAGTTTTGCTTAATCACCGGTCTACGCTTCGGACACGATGATGTAGGTCGGTACACTAGACACATTACCCGCCCATCATGGTTATCCCGGGTTTTTCCTGAGCTGGAGAGGCCGAATCTACACGTGGAAGACCTGACGAGATTATTGAATAAGAAAGATGGTTTTACTCGGATGGATGACGTCGATGTTGTCCGAGTATGCCTTCTAATACTTTTGCATGCCGGCTTTTTAGGCAGAGAGGCCAGACAACCTATTCCAAATGATCTAATCAAATTGGTAGAAGACCTAAATGCATGGAACCTGTTTCCGTGGGGCTCGTATTTATGGAAAGCTATATGGAATAAGTTATCGTCTGCCTTGGATGATCGAAAAAGTTTGCATGGCGATGGTTTCAAATACACTTTGACAGGCTTTATTTGGGCCTTTAAGGTAAGAATTTTTATATAATGTTTCCAAAATTATAAGTAATTATTTAACAATTACTAATGTTTGTTATTATATTGTTTGTAGATTTGGATATTTGAGGCCTTTCCCGCCATGAAGACATATGCAATAAAAACTTCAAATGATATTCCCAGGGCTATTTCCTGGAAGAGGAAACTGACCTTGCAATGGGAAGATTTACTATGGTATACGATAATAAATAATGTAAGTTAACATAAATACTACCATATGTTTATAAACAAGTTATTACTAGTACACGTTTAACTTTGTTTGAGCTTTTATATTGTTAGGAGGCCAACACTCCATTACAGAGGCTGACACCCACGGAAGCTGAGCTTGCCACTGATTGGTGGCAAGCTAGTAAGCGTTTTTTTGATGGCATGGATGATGAGCAGCCTCCACTTCGGGAGCCATCACCTCACCCAGAGCTATCACCTCACCCAGAGCCATCACCTGATCGACCCGACTATACACCTCCATAACGACAGCCATCACCTATTCTGTCACATCATCGAGCCTCTTCTTCACCATCACCGCAAGATAGGCGACCGACAAAGTTGCCACGACGTTTATCTCCCTGTTCTCCACCTCCACGGGATGAGTTAGGGGAATTACGTGTTGAGGTCAATGCCTTGCGTGAGAAGGTCGGTACTTTACGCAAAGAAGATGGTGCATGGCATGTTGAGGTGTCTACTTTACGCGGTGAGGTAGCCGCTCTACGTGAGATGGTAGCATCGTTGCAGAATGAGGTTCATACTCTACGCAACGAGGTAAGTTTAAGATTTTTCATATTTAACTTGATGATAAATTTACTCATAATTTCACTTAGATTAACCATTTCACTTAGATTGCTTAATAAATTAATTCGGTTGCTGCCAATACTGCTAAACTGCTTTTGTTAGTATTTGTTTTTGGTTTTGTTTTTGTCTTTTGGTTGAAGTAATGCAATCCATTCAAGTTTCAATTTGCAGAAGAAGAATAGTTTACTTTCGCAACACGAAAATGACTATCGCAATGCGGAAATGGCTATCGCAATGCGAAATGAAAATCGCAACGACAAAATCGCAATGCGAAATGAAAATCGCAACGACAAAATCGCAACGCGAAATGAAAATCGCAATGCAATTTGTGTTTCGCGTTGCGATTTTTTCGTTGCGATTTTTATTTCGCATTGCGATTTTGTCGTTGCGATTTTCATTTCGCATTGCGATAGCCATTTTCGCGTTGCGATAGCCATTTTCGCGTTGCGATAGCCATTTCCGCGTTGCGAAAGTAAGTTTCGTGTTGCGAAAGTAAACTATTCTTCTTCTTGAATGTTTATATATGTTGTCCTTTTAAATGTTTATATAAGTGCTTACTTCTGGAATGTTATCTGATGCATTTTGTGAACTATGATAGAAAAATGACTTGGGTGAATACAATGCAAGTTTGAAACATATTTGTCTTTGTTTAATATCATGTCTGTTTATTTATTGATTTATATATTAATTTTTTTTAGCGGCCTGATAAGGTGGATGCTTTACGTCGGGTTTTCCTTGCACGACGGAGTTCACGCATCAGACGGCGTGCACGTGCTATTACGTCTCCGTTCACCCCAATGGTGCGAAGACTCCGCAAGAAGAAGCCCGACTCATCTGTCATCCCTCAAGAGTCCCCTCCAATCGTTCAAGAGGCCCCTATCATCCCTCAAGAGTCCCCCCCACCGTTCAAGAGGCCACTGTCATCGTTGAAGAGGTCCCTCCCACCATTCCAGAGCCCGATTCACATGGGGTAATATATCGAATTATTGAGAAACCCCCACCGTTGCCGGACATGATGGATGAGAGTTGGCTCTCGTATGAGTTACCGGCTAGTACCCTTCCGGTATCTGAAGTGGAGAGGAGACAACTACCGGAAACAATTCTGGATAATACCCTTTGGGCTAAGACCGTAGTTGATTTTTATCTACATGAGCGGAGCCAAGGGTGTTACACTGACATAAACAAACTCAACGATGAGATGTATTTGTTGCTTAATCGGTCTTGTTGGGGTGTGTTATTAGGGGTTGAAGACAGTGGCTATTTCGATGGGGAGGTAAGTCTTATATTTGTCTTATATATGATTTTGATTAATTTTTTTTAAAAATAATGTAATTCACTAATATATGTCTTTTTTTGTAAAACAACATATCGATGCGTGGGTGTCACGTCTTCTAATAATAAGGAAGCTTAGGAAAAATAAAAAAAATTCGCGATATACAATAATGCCGGCGACTTTTCACGCAGTTTACTTGAAGAATCAACGAGATGAATCATTTTCGTTGGGCAATGGACAAGCTAAACTTTATCCTGCATGGTGGGAGGTTGATAAGGTTAGTGTTTATTTTTTAAATTTTTTAAAGGTGTTCATAAATAAGTGCGTAAATAAATGAATTATTACTTATGATTGCAGGTGTTTATCCCTGTTTTGGAACGTCGTCATTGGCTTCTCGTCCAACTTCAGCTCCCATCCTTGAAGATAATAGTATATGACAGCATGATAAATTACATATCACTGTCTGATTTGAGAGATATTATCAAGGGATGGAGCTCTCATTTGGCTAAATTCTTGGATGAGATTAATTATTGGACTCATTCTGGACACAAGAAGCCAAAGAAGTTCAATGTCACAGTTGTCAGAGACGAGACCGCGCCACAACAATCTCCGGGAGCCAGAGGGGATTGTGGTCCTCTCGTATGCTTGTGCTTGGCGCGTTTGACGACGGGAAGCACAGAGTTTCTACCTTCCACCGATAGAGATAGAGCTGCAGTAGGCTTGTGGTTTTGGCATTATATAGCTAGAGCGATGTATTCGAGACGCTGCCTACCTGCATCCGCGTTATGAAAGTATCCATTGTTAATTGGTAAGTCAAATGCAAGTTTTGTTATATGTTATACTCCTTTTGGTTTGAAAATGTTTGGTTAAGTACCTAGAATTCAATAATTTGCTGTTTGTAGGTTTTAGATGTGTAGGAAGTCTTGTTTGAGCAAATGTTTGGTTTCTGCAGGTTAATCCTTAAATGAGCTACGTGAAATGGATGTACGGGTGCAAAATTTGATTCATTAATTCAATAATTGATGAGGAAATAAGAATTATTATTATTTTTTGATTGTTTAATTGATTTGTAAAAAATGATTTGTAAATGTTGATTTGTTTAATTGATGTGTACATAATTCTTATTTGTGCTTGTTTAATTGATTGAAATGTAATAGTTGATTTGTTGATTTTCAATCTGCATTATGTTGAAGGCAAAACAGACTATCGCAACACGAAACTGACTATCGCAACGAGAGAATCGCAACGCGAAAATGGCTATCGCAACGAGAAAATCGCAATGCGATTTTCATTTCGCATTGCGATTTTCTCGTTGCGATAGCCATTTTCGCGTTTTGATAGCCATTTTCGCGTTGCAATAGCCATTTTCGCGTTGCGATAGTCATTTTCGCGTTGCGATTTCCCCGTTGCGATAGTCAAATGAATGTCTAATAAGTGATAACAACTGAACAGATCATAGCAATGTTCAAACTCAAGTTACTAATACATGCCTAACTGAAAATGTTAAAAGTGCACACATAAAATACACATAATACAACGTTTGCATTTAAAAATCACCTAAGTTAACAGTCCCAAAAGGTGAAGCCGGTTGTGATTGGGATTTTGAAGATGATTGTGATTTTCAGAATCTCGTTGCGAAAGTCAGAATCGCGTTGCGAAAGTCAGTATCGCGTTGCGAAAATCAGTATCGCGTTGCGATTTTGTATTATCGCGTTGCGATAGTCAGTATCGCATTGCGATTTTCCAAATTCGCATTGCGATTTACTTATTCGCATTGCGAATTGAGAAAATCGCAATGCGAAATTGTAAAATCGCATTGCGATAGTCATAATCGCGTTGCGAATCTGGAAACTGATTTGCGATAATGGAGATCGCGTTGCGAATTAGCGATCGCATTGCGATTTTGTTGGTCATTTTGGCAAATCCGGAAAAAGTTGGTTAAAATCGTATATTATATGAGATTTTTGGTCACTGAGGTTATTTTCTCTTTTCGGAATATTTCCTACAAAGATTGGGAAGATTATGTTGGTTCATTCGGCCATTGTTTGCCAGTATTTTCCAAGAAAAGTAAATTATGTTCAAGGCATTTTTACTTGCATATGAATCAATCATACAGAACACAATTCTGGGAAAAATTTGTTTAAACATACATAACTGTTTTGTTGGGTGCCTTATCAATTCATCCTAAATGAAAGTGGCTGAGCATAACAGCAATAGTTATGCGCCAGTGGTTCAGCTGCTTCCATGTGGGAATTCCCGGCGTTAGTTTATAAAGCCATCAATCAAGCTCTCTTAAATTATGAATATACATATACGTAAAACATATATACACAACCTCTGCCTCTATCATTTAAAAAATATAAGCCTACGCCTTGCGGCGCTCTAATTCAGTCCATTTCCCCTGTTTGCAAGCCTTCTACCCGTACCAAAGATAAATACCTTGCTCAACACCCGATGATCCAGGCTACAAGCAAGAACAATCAGACCACCGTATATTAGTGCCCTTGAAATATTAGGAGCCAGAGGGTTTTCGGAAGTATCTCCTATATCAGACTTCGATAAATCTACATTGCTTGCCAAAGATCTCAAGTAGTCGACCCTTATTTTGGTGTTGATTTGAGCCATATACGCGGACTGAGATAGAGAAGATAGAGATTCTCTTTCTTTTTGGTAAGCACGTAACCCGGGCTCGATTTTCTTCACCGTTGCCCACATCCCCTGTCGCACTCCGAGCTTAGCTATTTCCCATGGGATGCCCATGTCTTCATAATGGAAGAGTAAAACCTCACAGGCAGTCAGTTGACCATTACCTCTTCTTGATTCCACTAAACGTATGAAGAGAAAACTTAGTTTCCATCCATTCAGTTATTTGCTTCTAACTTATGATAATCATAAGGTTAATGATCCAGTGTTTTTCGGTGACAAAACCTTCATGTGCAAAAATAGTGGCTCAACTGAAAGAAAGAAGACCGGCATACCTGCTCGGATGTACCAACTTGAGTAGTACAGGTCCACACGTCTAGGTTTGCTACGTCGCGGAATGGAAGGCCTTGAGACTCCCTGAAACACAATCATTTGAGTTGAAACCACAAACAAATATGGCCAATGTAGGTGGAAACAGAAGAAGATAAACAAATAAAACTATGAATTTCGCCATCAGACGCAACTTGAGGGGGTAAATAGGGAGAAGAAAGAAGGGCAACTTGAATCAACCTTCATTTCAAGAGCCTTAACATTATTTCTCATAGTTCTTTACCTATTTTTATTCTTGACCAAAACATTGGATTTCATCTGCCTACACTATTCAGAAGAACTAATTTTCACTAACAATCTTACAGTCTTGAGTTCAAATCAGTAAACGATTTATTTTCTGGAAGTTCTAGCATTATGTCAGAAAACATTAAACCGATTTTCATACCTTTGTCACACAGTAGTAAGATCCATCCACTTCCCATATCCGTCGACCTATTATGTATTCCCTGTCACTGCAAAAGAATGGAAACTGAGCCACAAAGAATTAGAAAAAAGAAAAGTTAGTATAATAAGCATTGAAAGGCAAGATGTTGACTATCAGTCAGAGCAGATGTTAAAAGATAACGACAAGTATAATGATTGCATAATAAAATAGAAAACGTAGAAAATCCTCAGGGAATTAGCTGCATAATAAGATGCCTCAATTTCAAGGAAGTTTACCTTTCTTATCCACTGAACAACCATGGTCCCTGCTGTAGAACACTCTTCTATGGTCGCAGAATACGCAAGCATGTCATCCCACTTGGGTCGGAACTCATCGTCCCAGAAGAAGTCCCTAACCATCTTTGCAGTTGCATTCTCGAAGACAGTTTTGGTCCGGTACTGAGGAGGGCCAGTCTAACAAAATCCATGTATATATAAAAGATTAGCTTATCAAACATAAGCAAAAGTGCTTTTCAAACAAAGTGGAAGAGACAGAACCCTACATTTGGGTCTCTCCGCCATGCATGATAGCTCATATTTGGAGTAGAACGATCCATCATATGTATCCATGTAGGACCTCCGTCCCTCATCTCAACAAGCTGCCATAAATGCTTCAAATCCTCCCCAGTTACAACACTTGAACGACCTTCGTTAACCACTGATGTGGAGCATCTGCTACTAAAAATATGTACGTATACCATCAACAAAATTAAAACTTTCCCCAACTTCGTCGATGAAACATCAAACTCCAACATAAAATGAACAACTTCGGAGAAATTCAAAGTACCTGCAACTTTCATAATCAGAAGGAGAAAAGAGCGGTTTCCCTTGGTTTCCATCATCAATGGGCCAAGATTCACAACCGTCTGACTGCATTTTCAAGGAGCTGAAACATGACCAGGGCAACGAGAATTTCAGTGATTTGGTTAGACAGCGACTCAATTTCCGTGTTACCTGGCCCGTCCAGTCCGGCTTCCAAGCCCAACCAACTAGTACTCCCACTAAAAAAGCTATCCAAAAGGGAACCAAATACAACATCGTATCTAGGAAGAAAACTCCAACAATATTAAAGATTAGTATAAGATTAGCCGATCAATCCATAGTCAAACAAAGTACAAGGAAAATCTGAGGAAATCTTCCGGGAAAAAACACGATTGAAAGAGAAAAAAAACCCACCAAGTATAGATATGGCGACAAAAGGGGAAAAAGACAGAATTTTAAGGCTGGAGCTTGATTAAGAACCAGACATGAGCTTAGCGGTTGAAACTAGAAAGAAGGTTTTATGATTTTGATGATGCGAGGAGAAGAGAGAGGACAAAGGGTCCGCTTTGGTTTTTTTGATGAAAGAGAAATAAGAGGGAGAAACATGCAAAGTAAGAAGGGTGGAGAATGAATAATTTGCAACCATTGGTTCAAAATTCCGATATCCTATGATTAACAGCTAAAAAGGAATGATATTTGTAACGGTGGAAGTGGATTGAAACGAATCAGGAACAACAAACCAACCCCACCATTCACACTTTTGCTTTTTCTTCAAGATATTAAATAACTAGTTCTCCTTTATTAGTTATCATCAATTTTATATAGGTATATATATAGTGATAGGAAAATGGGGAAAAATTGATTACATTATAAGTCTTTTGCCATCTTTCATGGTAATTTAAAGGAGTAATTTGTTGAAATTCTATTGAATACTTCAAGAACAAAGTTTAAGCAAAAAGTGAGTGGTTGAAGCTTTGTGTTTGACACTTTAAAAATCGGCTTTTTTCGTCTAAATATCCTTTAATAAAATATTTTTTTATTTTAACAATCATATACGATTATTTTAAAAATAATTCTATTTTTCTTTCATATAGGTAGAAGCGCTTTTCGTAAGAAGTTCTTTATTATGATAGAAATTGGTCAAAATTTTAAAGGTTGGAGTGGAATGAAAAAAAAAATAGAGAAAAAGACGAGCAAAAGAAATGAACAAGTTATACGAATATTGCTCAAAAAAATAAATATATGTTGGCCGTCGTATTTCACATTGTATAGATATAAGATTTTTCAAATGTTTAAATATAAGATTAATGCACAAGCACTATCTTAGTCGCTTGGTTTAGTTATGTGTCTTTAACATATACTATGCGTACTTGTTGATTCTTTTGACAAAATTTGTATAACTTGTTCATATTTTTTGTCCCTTTTTTTCTTTCATTTTTCATTTCAGTCCAATTTTTAAAGTTCTGATTGATTTCTACCACATCAGCAAATGACGTTTCTTATAAAATACGACTTCTACTTATGTGATAGAAAATGATACCAATTCAAAAATTAATCGATTTTAGGTGTCATAATGATAATTAAATTTTTAATGAAATATATTTAAATAAAAAACCTTAAAAGTCAATGTTCCATCTTGAAATGACAATTGCATCCCTTAATTTATAACACAATAAAACATATAAATAATTATTAAATTATGTTAAAATATTATTTTAACTATTAAAATTTTAAAATAATTATTAAATTTATATAGTTGCCTCAACCGCTCTTGTTAATTATGTTGTCACTAGCCACTCACCATTATATTTTGTTTAATTGTTATGAATGTATATCTAATATTATTTTATATGACATCTTTTATGACTATAGCAATCTAAGGGGTTGTTTGTTTACTTCATAACGATTAAGAACGATTAAGAGCTGAATGATTCAAATGCTGAATGACTTAGAGGCTTTGTATGAATTAGCTCTGTATGAATTAGCTCTGAATGTTACATGTTGTTTGATAATGGCTCTGAATCATTCAGAATGTACTTTGATGCTGAATCATTCAACATTGTTTTGCTGAATCAGTCAGCACTAAATCATTCAGAGGTGAGAAACAAACACGCTGAATGTTGAACGGTTCAGCATTCAGTGCTGAATGGTTCTATTCATAGCCAAACAAACAACCCCTAAGTATCTATTTCAATGATCGGTATTAACAACTTAATTTTAATTACTTCTTTTAAACCTTTTCGTAACCCTAGTCGTTCTCTCATTTTCCTTTTTTTTTTGGAGTTTGTGTCACTCTCTAGATTAGATAAATATTTTTTCTTTATTTTTGTTTAGTTGGGGACACACTGATTTTGATGTTGGTTGTCGACTGTCGGTTATCATTTAGTTTTTTTAATAAGAATAATTCCGCCTTTATGAAAACTTTTTTTATTTTCTTTCTAGATCATTTGGTCGTTCTTTTATTTATATTTGCTCAGGATTAGACTTGACGACGCCACGAATGATAAAGATGACGCTTATTTGTAATCATGTTGATCTTCCTTGTTATGGAAGCTTAGATTAAATTTGGATGCGCGATTTTACGTTCGTGGGTAGTTTCTCACAACGCTCGGCTTTGATTTGCGATTCTCAGTGATCTTTCAATAACTTAATTCCCTTTTGTGGTTCGTTCGCCAATATAATCAGATTTGTTTGTATATATTTTTTGTTAGAGTCTTTTAGTTTATCTTTTAACCTTTTTCATGCATGGTCCTTATATGATGTTAGGATTTATGTTGCTCTATCGATCAACTGAAAATGGTGCCAAGAGGGGGTTAATTGACCAAATAAAAATTTAGGGATTATGGAGAGACATGATAGGAAATTTGTACAACGATTGAGGTTCAACTTCTAAACCAAGTCTATATCCACTACTTTAGCTCCACACTAAGAATTTCTAACAAATTCACTAATTTGTTCTTTCTTTTTCTAGGCTCAAGAGTAACATTTAAAACCCCCTATCTTTTGAATAGCTAAGTCAGAACCAATTCCCCTTAACAAAAGGATAAATAAATATAAACAAAAAAAACCTCTAAAAGATAAATGTTTACAAATTAAGCTCACAAAACACACTATGTACAAGAGAAAAGGAAAAATAAGATTGAAAGAGCTTTTCTCTTGATGTGGATTGCTTGGATAGGTGTTGCAACCTTCTTCAAGTGTCTTCAACTTGTTTTTTGCTTGGATAGGTGTTGTAACCTTCTTCAAGTGTCTTCAACTTGTTTTTTTTATGTTGGAATGAGTTTGGAGCCGTTCGGGATGTTTTGGAGTCGTTGGGGATTAATTTTCTTCAAAACCAAACTGCCAGGACAAGGAGTATCAGTACTCAAGTGATGAGTATCAATGTTGCCTTTAATAAACTAGTCGTTTTTTACCATTGGGTTTAGTGAGTATCGATATTGATGTTATGGTATCGATACTATTATCGATGCTTCTTTCAATATCGGTACCATTTTTGCTTATTGGAATCTAAACACATTTATAAATAAAAGGCAGTATCGGTACTGCCATGAGAGTATCAATACTTCCTTTACCTTTGGTATGAATACTGCAAGAACTGTTTCGATACTGTTCATGCAGTATCAATTATGCTTACTTAGAAAAACTGTTATGTGTTCAAATTCAAGTTTTATGGACTTCAAATTATTTTTGAAAACTTTGAATAAACTCAATCAAGTCCCAAAAACATTTTCCCTTAAATTTGTTATATCAAAATAGGTTTAACAATCTTCCCCTTTTTGATACAACAAAACATTTGAAAAATGGTTTTTGGCAAAGCTCCATTTAATAAAACATTTAATGAAAAAGAGAAATATTTTGGAAAAAAGCTCCCCTTTTTTCATTCTTGAAATTGAATTTTTCAAACCTACAGTTCTCCCCTTTTTGTTATATAAAAAATAATTCAAACTTTAATGTTCAAAATAACGATAAGAGTAAGTGGAAATTTTAACTTAAAAATCATTTGAAATTTTTTAAAGCTTTCCCTCAACAAATGAATTCCAAAGAAAATTAACTTTAAAAACTTGACACTTAAAAACTATTGAATTTCAACAAAGATTAACAAACATGTTAGTAACACATGAAATTTAATAAATCTAAGTCTACTATACTTTATGCAACATTAACGTGAGACATTAAAGTTCATATACATAAAGTTTTCTAAAAATGTTATGCATTTAAAAAATTGATATCAATTGTTAGAAAGATATCATTTGCAATAAAAAGTACAAGCATAAACATTCAAGTTTAAGGTAGAAAATCAAAGTTTGTAAAAACAAAACATTAAAAACATATTTGACCAAAAATCATTATGATGAACAAACAAATCATTAAAACTTTAAAATGTTCATCATAACACATTTTAATGTACATGAGATAGAAAAACATAATATAATCATTTATGTTAAAAAATTCATAAAACAAAATAGGCAACCAGTATAAAAATAAAAAACTTTAGGCTTAGAGGTTACCCATTCCTCATTTTGTGTGGCTAGAGCATTTAAATTTCTTCATTTTTTCACCATTGCTCCCACACACCTACAAGAGACATTCATTTGGATTTTGGTATCCAAATTATTTTGGATCCTTGATTGTTAGTGCTAATGCCCCTGGTTCCCTTATGAATCCATACTTACCTAATTTTAAAAGGTTTTCAAAGTTTTAAAGGACAAGTATGTTCCATGTGACCATGAAAATGACAATGTGAGCATTTTGCCATTTTTAAACATAATGAATTGTTTTGAGAAACTAATTCATTTTCTTTTGTTAAACTTTCAAGCTTAACTTTCAAATCAAAATTTTCTTTTTCTAAATCATTGATTTTGATTTTTGAAAGCTCAAAATCATTTTTAAAAATTTCATTTTGTTTTTCAAAATCAAATTTTGCTTTCAAAATCAAATCATTTTCAACTTTAAAATTTGAAATTAATTTCTTTATATTTGGAATTCATGGTCTCAAATTAAAAATACAACTCCTTATAAGGATCTTGTAACTCTTTAAATGAATAAGAATTTAAATCACAAGAGTTAGGAGTTACCCTTGAATCTTTTTCGATGGCCATAAGACATAGGTTGGCTACTTCATCTTCATTATTGGAATATTCTTCATCATTCCAAGAAACCACAAATGCCTTATTCTTCCTTGATCTCTTCTTCTTTAAAAGGGGACAATCATAGTTGACATGTCCAGTTCTTTGACATTCAAAGCACATTGGGGGACCCTTCTTCTTGCTCGATAATGCTTTACTTCTTTTCCTTTGGAAGACATGCATCTTGTGAATCTTTTGAAGAACTTGACTATCTCTTCATCTTCATCCACCTTTTCACTTTAGTCTTGATTACTTTTTGATAACTTCGTAAAATGACTATATTTTGTGCATTTTTACTTAAGTTATTAGTTGTCTAAAATCCTATTTTATTGTATTTAGGGTCATATAATTGCATGTTGTAGTAAA